ATCAATTTCTTTTTGTGTGTTAATGGTTTCTGTCTCTTTTACGCTAAAAGGTTTTTTTCTTTTGATAATTGAAATTTGTTTTGTTACTCTTCCATTAACGAAATTCATTTAAAAAAAATACACGAGACGTTTAAAAACAAGCAGTCACTATTTCACTTTCATATGAATTTTTCTTTTTTATTACGACAAACATTTAAATAACAACGATTCAAAACGGTGTCGAACAAACAGAATATTAATTAATTTATATTAATTTATCTCGTATATCATTTGACAATATTATTTATATTTTAGATTAATAAACATTTTTTAAATACTACTTTTAATTTGTTTTTTAGCAATGAAAGTCAAACTGCTATACCAACTGTATGTTGTCGTACTGTTGCTTTTGTAAGTCTCTTACAAAAGAGTTTCTTCTCAATACTAATTTGTTTTTATTTTTTATTAAATTCAGAATTTTTCCAGAATTAATATACAGTACGTATTCAGATTTTCTTTTTGCTTTTTTTTCGTTACAAACTTTGAAAATAATTAAAACGATTTTCGTTATTATATTCATAATTGAACTGTTATTAAGCTACTTTTTTCCAACATACAGACCAAGCTAATCTGAAGAATTACATTCTGTAGCTTTACAATGTAAAATTCTGTTAAAACTACTATTTTATTTATTCAACTCGGTTGAAACTCGAAAAATAGATCAAAATATTAAAATAGTTAATGATGGATTGTTTTTTATTTGATCGTATGCATGTTCTTCACGTTTTAATAAATTATATAAATGTTCATTAGAATACACAAATGATTCTAACGAGAAAGCAGACGACCAGTCAAACGCGTATATTTGCAGAAAATTACAAAAAATTCGTTTTTTCTTCTAATTTTTTTTAACTCGTTGAGTATTATGTACAAAGAAGCGCAGGGATGCAAGGATGATAGTGAATCACAACTTCATCGTCACCGTTGCGTGCCTAGACATTCAAGTTATTTTTAATATTCTTAAATATTGTGTATAAATAGAAGATAGTAATTTTTCAAAAAGGTACAAGTCATAAACATACGTATCAATACAGAATTTTTTACGTTTTCAATTAAAACTTATGGAAGACTGCAAGAATCTCATCGTTGCAGATAGTTGCATGTGATGCTCCTGTGTAGTGAAAATGATAATAAGAGATAGTTGACAAAGGGTGCCCCATCCTACCTTTGATAGCTTCATTACAGCTTTCTCTAATTTTGGAGAAAGTTTCTGACCAGTTTTCTTCTTTTTGTAAAGACTTGCGAGGGAAGGCAACCAACTAATAAACCACTTTTGAGTCGAGACTATGAATACTCTGAAAAGGATTCGGGTCAATAACATGTTCGTATCGAGATACTGCATTTTTAAGATATTTTTAAAGAGAATGCCATGGTCTCCCTTAGGATCACCAGGAAAACTGATTGTCGAATTTCAACTTGAAACTTTGCGTAGAGATAGGCCCTAACAAGACTAGTTTATGGTGAAAGTTTTAGATCTTTTGAATTGCTCCTATCCTAAAATACAAATATCGAATATGCCCGTGTATATGAACGATATAAAAGACACGATTTTACCATAGCCGTATCTTAGGACAGGAACAATGAAAAGATTTGAAATTTTCACCATAAACTATTCTTGTTATGACCTATTTCTATGCAAAGTTTCAAGTTGGAATTCGAAAATTAGTTTTCCCGATATTTCTGAGGGCAGCCATGACATTCTGTTTAAAAATACTGTAAAACTACAGTATCTCGATACAAATAAGCTATTGACCCGAATTCTTTTCAGGATATTCATAGTCTCGAGTCAAAAGCAATTTATCAGTTGGTTGTCTTCTCTCGTCAGATCAACAATTTGGTGCTGGCCTGACACATTAGCTAGGTCAATTTCTATATGTATGGATCAAGCTAGGCTGACATTTCTAAATTCAGTTTGGCCTGGAGCATGGCAATAGCATGGTCACACTTGTAAAAAAAATCGCAGAATATTTACCGCTACGAAAAGGATTTATGGAAACCGTTTTGCATAGGATGTATTATTTTATGTCTATTTTTTACAATGCAGGCTAGCAACTCTGATTCATAATACATAAGTCGTTAGTATTCTGACAAATAAAGAAGAAAACTCTCAATCTAACTTTCTCAAATGTTTCACAAGAATAATTCTTATATTTTAGTAATGATCATTAAAAATTATGCACAGTAGATTCATCAGTCTACTCTACTTACAGAAAAAGCTTTATTTGTCGTTATTAGGCATGGACAGAACGGTTCAACACTAGTTTCGACTCTATTTCTTCTCCAAAACAGGGCCACTTTGCTTAAAACTAGGTATAATTCTTGCATAAATTTCAGAAAACATCAGCAATTTATATCAATGTAGCATCTTCCTCATCACAAAGAGAATTCGCATCATCGTTTCGAATACATTTCTAAGTGAGATGAGAGTAGAGGACCAAGATCTAATGCGTTATATCAGAATTCTTTTTGAATTCAAACAAAAAAAATAAGAATCGTTTTTTATTCGGAAACAAGGCTGGCAAAGAAGATAAAGATTCGCACTTCTCTTTCACAAGACATTGTGATTTTAAAATCTTTAAAATCTATAGCAATTATGCATATACCTTGTTATCAACAGTGTGAACTTTAATGAGTCCAAGGGATCGACAGCTACTACTAGCTATATGATTTTTCAACTGTAGAATGCTAGACAAAAAAGGTATGAATGTGAGGGAAACATCATCAACAACTGAAAATAAAATTTGTTTTCTTCTATTATAACTGAACTGAGGTTCATTCTGAATAATTTGAAAGAGCATGAAATGGATAGAGGGAAGCTAAGAAAAATGAAAAGAAATTTGTGATAACTATGAAGTCTATACGCCTCATGCTACTCATGGGAAGCTATAACTGCCTATGATAAATGAGACCTTGTTGGAACTCAAATATGACGAAAAAAAAAATCTATAGATTCATTTTATGATCGATGATGCTTCAAAGGTTCACTTTAATGACTTAAATAATCTATGTGTTCGATTTCTTTGTTAATACTAATAGTTAAGTGAGATCTGTTCATCAGTAAATTTGTTAATTTATTTGCGAAAAACAAAATCTACCCTCAATGTAAAATACTATGTTGACTTCAAGAAATTACTTCGTATTAAAAGAATCTATTCACGCTTCATAGGATCAATACTAATGCTCAGCTGTTATTACTATTTGACTAAATGTAACAACTGACCATAAGCCTATGATATGAGATACTTGATGTTTCATGACTGTAGTTTTTCGACTGTCTGCCATTTGGTTTGATAAAGATGATTATCTTTTGTAGAATTTACTGTTACTCAGCTAGTACTATTGAAAGGACATATGATATCCCACTAGGGCACACTTTCTAATTATTGAGAAAGGCATGGTATTGACAACTGTTTTGTTCTAAATAGTTCCCATTGATCATAGATTAAGTTATAGCTTTAAAAATTGATTAAGCGTTGATCAAAATGTAGGTGTCATTTGCCAAAAAGAATTTCTTGTGAATATCTTATTCACATTAGAAATACTTGCAGATAACATGTCTAGATAGAGCTTGGAAAGTTATTGATAGAAAGTTTTGGTAAGCCCTAAAAGTTATAGATAACATACTAAGATAGATTCGGAAAACTGTCCGTGGCATGCCAAGATACTACCATTAAGCTTCAACATAGTATAACTAGTCAGGTCTTAAAAGTTACAAGCAATACAGTCAGATACTTCTGTGAAGATTATAAATGAAATACTCATATGGGTCGAAAAAAGTTCTTTGTAATATATTCAAAAGTTCTCTAATTGTCACATGTAATAGATTTACATTCATTTCGTAAAGCTAGGATTAACATAGACACATAATTTTCAAAAACGTTTAATACCCATTCAATTAGATCAATGCTGAATCGAGAACCGTTGAAGCAGTTCATTTTCTTTCAAAGAATTGTGTAAAACCTTCTATTTAGGTAGACTATATGATCTTTTGTTTAGCTTGAGCTGTTATGCATGTAATGAATACAGTACATGAATACCAAATATGCTTTCATATACTGGAAAGATGTTTTGAAGCTGGAGTTTCCAAATATGTACTCTCTCTCTTTGTTAATGCTCATGTTATACACAGTATCATAATATCTAATCCATACTTGTAATAATACCATTAGTAAGCAAATACTACAGAAATTGATTTCTAATATTTTCTTTGAAGTATTTCAACAGTGTAACATTAGATTCAAGTCATTTGAACTTTTCTCTCTGCACGGACAATTAATCTATAAGAAGAAACGTCCATGCTTCGGGTAATGTACCTGTTGCAAAGAAAAATAATAAAGCCTGAAAATTTTCTATCACCAATGTTAGAGTCTGTTATGAAACATTTGTTTCTATAGATCAACGATGGTCAAATAGCTACAAATTTTGTAAGAAACATTTAAAAAGTCTGATTAAGAAAGTGAAAAAGCAAAATGGAAAATAGTGATTACTTTCTACAATTAAGTACATTTGCTTTGCTATGGAAAGCAAAATTATTAACGAAAAAAAGCACTTCTTCTCTCAAGAACTTATTTCATCGTTTATTATAGCATTCTCTTTTTAGTAATATAAGCAAATATGGAAATTTGTCTTCTTTAAAATTTATATATCCTTTTTTTCCAAATATTGTTGAGTTCGATGGGAAGTGTTTTTTTACTGTTTGAAGGAAAGTAAAAAGAGATTTTTATGTGAGATAAAAACATCCATTTTTACCATCATGTTGGGATGTTGAAGATTAGATTGAAGTTCGCCGAAGTTATTCTGGATGACAATGTGATCAGGTTCGGATTGGCGATGGGAATCTATATTCAATAGAAATTATAAAATTCAATCGACTTGTTTCTATTCAGATCCATTTTCATGGCGAAAAGAAAAATTCTTCTTTATGATATTCATTGAAAATGATTTTAATGATCACTTATTACATGTACTTTATCGAATTTATTTGGAATTCGGATCGTAGACAATCTGTTGAAAATTATAATTCTTATAGTTCCATAAAATACAATTAAAACTTTTGTGATATGTAATGCAAATGAATTATTTATAATTTTAGCTCAGACAACAGTAACATGTGCGAATACTGCTTGGAATAATACCTTTCGGACATTAGCAGGTACAGGTTCAGCAGGAAGTACTTCAACAACACTTTATTATCCATATGGTGCTGCATTCGATTCAAGTGGTACACTCTATGTAGCTGATCGGTATAATCATCGTATTCAAAGGTTTGTTGGTGGATCAACAACAGCATCAACAGTTTCAGGTCTATCTTTGTATTATCCAGCTGATGTCAAAGTTGACAGTGCTAATAATCTGTATATATTGGATACTTATAATTTTCGGATATTGCGTTGGAGTAGTGGCACTGTTACAGTAGTAGCTGGTGGTCATGGTAACGGTGGAGCATATAGCCAAATAAACTACAGCTACGCAATGCTTCTCGATTCATCTGCTAATATATATATATCAGACTGTGACAATGATCGTGTTATGTTATGGTACGCTGGAAACACAGTTGCCGGTGTATTGGTACGTTTGTTTTTCATTTATTTATTCATGCTTTTAAGCTTTAATTTATTAAAGGTGGCGGGTGGATATGGACGTGGAAATGCTCCACAACAATTTAGTTGCTCTGTTGGAATGTCTGTTGACACGAATGGAATTATGTATATTACTGATTATTACAATCATCGTGTTCAACAGTGGAATCCTGGTTTGTTATTTTTATTAAATATAATTAAGAATAATATTCTAATATTATTATAAAATAGGTGCTGCTATTGGTATTACTGTAGCTGGTCGGACAAGTGTATCGGGTCCATGGGCATATACATTAACTTATCCAGTATCAGTTATTCATGATCAATATAATTATCTTTATATTCTTGATGCTGGCAATAGTAGAATTCAACGTTGGGTTCCTGGAGCAGACTACGGATATACTGTTGTAGCAGCAACAATTTCTACACCACGAGGATTATTTTTAGATGTTAATGGAAATATGGTTGTAACTGATCAGGATTATCATCGAATTGTTTCATTTGCTATGTATTGTCGTAAGTATTTTATTTATTTTTTTTTTTAAAATATTATTCATCTTAACAGATCTTAATTAAACAAATTCTATTGATTTTTAGCGCCGGTTACAACAACAACGACAACCACACAAATACGTAATGTCACCTTACTTTTTCAAACATTTAAGTATAAAAATTCTTTCTTTATCTATAATAGCTCAAATAACGGTTCCAGTTTGTTCAACAGCTGCTTGGAATTCAACTTTTGCCGTATTAGCTGGATCATCAGGAAATGCTGGATCATCAGCAATTTTACTTAGATATCCACGTAGTTCATTCATAGATATATATGGAAATTTGTATGTTGCTGATAGTTACAATCATAGAATTCAATATTTTCAAAGAGGTTTGAAGAAATTAAAAATTTTAGAATAGATAATTTCTTATTATTGTTATTTTATAATAGGTTCAACAACAGCGACAACAGTTGCAGGTATAACATCAAATGCTGGTTCAAGTTATTCTCAATTAACTTATCCATCAAGTATTTATGTTGATGTTAATCGAATAATGTATATATTAGATACAGATAACTGTCGTGTACTTCAATGGACTCCTGGAGATCCACTTGGTTATCCTGTTGCTGGTGATCATGGTTGTGGATCAGCATTAACTCAAATAGACACTAGTTATTCTATGTTTGTTGATAATCAATATAATATTTATATATCAGACAGTGATAATCATAGAGTTACACTATGGACACCAACGAATACATCATCTGGAATTCTAGTATTTTATTCAATAATGAGAAAAATTATGTTATTTACTTTATCTTTTTTAAGGTTGCTGGTGGTTATGGTGCTGGAAGTACATCAGAGAAACTTTATAATCCATGGGGAGTTTATGTTGATTCAAATCAAACAATTTATGTTGTTGATAGAACAAATCATAGAGTACAAATGTGGTATTCAGGTAAATTAGAAATTTCTTTTAGATTATCTAAACAAATAAAACTATTTTGTAGAAGCACTAGCAGGTATAACAGTAGCTGGTGCAACAGGTAGTGCAGGACCTTTTTCATATCAATTAAGTAGTCCAACTAGTATCACTCTTGATCCATATGGTTATATATATGTATTGGATTATGGAAATAACAGAGTTCAAAAATGGTATCCAGGTGCAGCTTATGGAGCAACAGTTATAACAGGATCATTGAATGCTCCATGTGGATTACAATTTGATCGTGTTGGAAATATTGTTATTAGTGATACATCGAATCATAGAATTTTATCTTATGCTATGACGTGTCGTAAGTTCTTTTTTACATAGTTTTAGATAGCATTCTTCTTTAATCTTTTTGTTAATTTTTCTTATTTCAATATTAGCTGCTACGACGACAACAACAGCAACACCACCAAGTAAGTTTTTTGTTTTTGAATTAATTATAATAAAGCTTACTTTTTTTTGTTCTACTGTTGAATAGCAACAACACAATCTTCATTATGTCCAACATCTCAATGGAATCAAACATTATCTGTATTAGCTGGAGTAGCTGGTAGTGCCGGAACTTCAACAACTTTATTAAATTATCCGTATAGTATTGATTTTGATGGCTACGAAAATTTATATGTTGCTGATACAGCTAATCATAGAATTCAATTTTATCCACATGGTAGATTTAAACTTCTATTTATCTGCTATATATGTTTATAAATATTAAATTGGGATTCTTTTTTTTTTGTTTTTTGTTTTTTAGGAACATCAATAGGTACAACTGTTGCCGGAAGTTCAGGTACTTATGGTGGTACCTATGCACAATTATATAATCCATATGCAATTTATGTTGATTCAAATCGAGCAATGTATATATTAGATACAAGTAACTATAGAGTTTTGATATGGCAGTTTGGTGAACCACGTGGTTATGTTGTTGCTGGTGGAAATGGAGCTGGTGCAGCATTAACTCAAATAACAACAAGTTATGCCATGTTTGTTGATGACCAATCGAATGTCTATGTATCTGAATCTGGTAATCATAGAGTAACCTTATGGTTATCAACAAATACAACAGCAGGAATATTAGTACGTATTTGTTCTTTAATAATCCTAGTTTAATTAATTTATTATTCAATATAAGGTTGCTGGTGGAAATGGTGCTGGAAGTACACCAGAAAGATTATACAATCCTTGGGGTATTTATGTTGATTCCAATCAAACGGTGTACATTGTTGATAGAACTAATCATCGAGTACAACTATGGCTTAATGGTAAGTATTATATATATATATTTGCATCTGATTAATAGATAATTGAATAGGAGCAATAAGTGGTACTACTGTTGCTGGTACAACTGGTGATGCAGGTCCATGGTCTTATCAATTGAGTAGTCCAACATCATTGTTGTTAGATCAATATGGTTATTTGTATATATTGGATTATGGAAATGCACGTATCCAAAAATGGTTTCCAGGTGCACCTTATGGAGCAACAGTTGTATCAGCATCTTTTTATAATCCCTGTGGAATGCAATTTGATCTTCTCAACAATCTTGTTGTAGCTGATACGTATCATCATCAAATTGTATCCTTTGGTGTTTTTTGTCGTATGTTAAATAATACTGCCTTATTTTCTATTCACCAGATAAATTTTCCCATTTTAGCTGCTACAACAACAACAACAACAACAGCATCTCCAGCGAGTGAGCCGTGCAGCTTTTCTTCTTTTTCTTAGATATTTATTATTTGATTTTGATTGAAAAGCTACATCATCAACACCAATATGTGCAACAGCTCAATGGAATCAAACATTTTCGATTTTGGCTGGAATAACAGGAAGTAGAGGAACTACACCCACGTTATTATATAATCCATGCGGTGCAGTCTTGGATGGATATCAAAATTTATACGTTGCTGATACAACTAATCATAGAATTCAATATTTTCCTCGCGGTATATTTCATATTTTATCTATCCCATATGTATACAGTTCTGAACAAAAGTAGCCACCATCCTCCATGAACTGGTACTATTTTTCATGATTTTTGGCTCATATTTTAGTTGTATACGAATCTCGATGAACCATGATCGCTAGCACCAATCTAATCTCAATTGATTGAGACATATTGAAGTTATGAGTCGAACAAGATCTTCGTGTTGTAATCTCTATATATCAGCCTTTGTTGAACCACTGTTTTTTGTGCTATTCATCATTTGAAAGCTAAATATTTCAGCTATACCAAGTTCCAATTTGATAAGAAACTATTTTGAAATGACTGAAGTATAATCTTTGTACTGAAAACTTCTCTCAAACCGGAAAAGTTAGTTGTTAATCAGACACAATTAGTTCAAGATAGTTTTTGTCAATTAACTTGTAAATTTTATCATAAAGTCGTCATCGAACCATGAGTTTGTGTTCAAATTTTCAGAGCTGTAGTTCTGATTGGAGAACAGACAGAACTATGGTATGAATCATCTACGGCACAGCTTGCTAACTATTTAGATCTTGAGTGCATGAGTCTGTATTTAGGCAGAAAGAACTGTAAATTGATCTTTGCTTTTTGCTTGAAAAGTGACCTTTAGCTTGTTTTGAAATGTTGAAACAAGCAAACTATTTTCCACAGCATGCTATCAGACGCATTGCAGCAGAAGTGATCTTCGTTGACGTGCGTTTCGAAAAACAGTGAAACTTTATATGAAGGTCAGTGTATAGAGCATTCTCTCTACTAATGAATTGATTGTAATGATGTGCTTTTTAGTACGAATTTGAAAGCACTTTTCTTTGTAGCTATACTTCACAAGCACAGTCTGCTACCCTCTCCTCGGGCTTCTTTAGAGTTAAATTGCCAAGGATTTATGCTCAAAGTAGCAACCCGAAACATTTTTCTACTTTTTTAAATATGTCGAAGCTGTTGTAATCTGTAGTGATCTTGCCACGGTCGCCGTTCTGTCCGAATATTATTTCAGTAGGAAACTTACACACACTACTGAACAGAAGCGTTTTAAATGAGAAAACTCATCAAATATAAAAACGATGACTAAAACAGTCAAACGAGAATAGAAGTCACTAGCAAATGATTCGACTGATAAATTAGCGATCAGCCTGAAATTCTATTCTAGGCACTAATTGACTCTGGAGGAGATTGTACACACATCGTGTCTTGACTTTTCATCCCCAACATTAAGAATGACAGACAGAGCAGCTGCTAAGCAATATGATGATATTTTCTAAGCTATCTTGACAGTTATGAATAGTGAAAAACAATTAGCATCATAATTCATGATCATCTAGCAGAAATGACTTCTACTGTCACATGTTTCTTACAACATCGTGTGGAAAAATGTTTTGCTTGTTTCAAAATTCCAAAACAAGCTACACGTGATTCTTCAAGCAAAAAGCATGCACTCAAGATCCAACTAGTAGTTAAGGCCCCCCTACCTCATAAAATGTCAGTTTTCGTTGAAATGGTCAAAGCTGAGATAAATACATGGGAAGATAGCCCGTCATCTACTCTTTCGTAAACAATAATTTGTTTTTCTCGTTACTTCATTTATCCCAAAAAATTTTCAAGATTTCCGTCAACCCCTATTCGAAAAACCAGCTGTTTTTTGAAAAATCAAAAAATGTTTTTCGTTCTTTCTGAGTTTCCGCTGTCTCAAAAGCACATCCGAAATTTCTCGTTCCTGGTTCGTTCAATGCATTAATATTCTTTTTTTGTTTAAAAGACCGTCTCAAGGCGCAGGGCATGATGGGGCCATTTTTTTGATTAAGCCTTTGTTTGGTCACTATACAGCCAGTTATATGATTTGGTTACCATTTTTTGACACTTTTTTCAGTAATTGAACTTGTGATCTCTTTTTTGCGCTTAAAAAGGGACTATTTCAAAAAAACGGCTCCATCATGCCCTGCATCTTGAGATGCTCTTTCCAACAAAAAATATTAATGTATTGAACGAACCAGGACCGAAAATTTTATGGTAGTCTCCCATCTCCAGCCCCAACATATCCTGAAAGTTTCATGCAATTTGGATGTTCCTGGGCTGAGATAGATTTTTGAGGGGGGGGGGGGGCTTACAAAACTGTG